ACATCAGTTTCCTTTAAAATTTCTGCCCCCAAAGTTTCACTTTCTTCATAAATATGAGCTTTACAAGTCCTAAATTCAGCCCCTAACTCATTTTCTGTTTCAAACTCACCTCTTAAAGCTTCAGTTTTATCTTGAAAATCAGCTTCACAACCATATTCATTTGAAAAATCAGTCCCTAGAGCTTCAGTTGTACCTTGGAAAACACCTTCAAAATCAGATTCTTTATGAAAATTAGCCCTAAAAGTTTTCCCTTTCCTTAAGGATCAAGTACAAAATTAGATTCTCTTTCAAAGTTTGTTCTAACAGTTTGCTTTTGGTAGTGAAAATCAAATTCCAAATCAAATTCAATCCCAACGCACAAAGCAACAAAAACAACAAAGCCAGAGTAATCCCACAATTGGGGCACGGGAAGGTAGGATATACATAGGCATAAACTCTACCCACATAACATACAAAACACATAACATAACATATAAAACATCCAAAGCCGCAGCAGCTACAAACAACAGACAAACCAGGTAGATTCGAACGAATAACATGAGTTGTTGCCCGAGCTAAAGGAAAATCAGTGGAATCACATCCAGCAATGAATCACAAATCTAGATATGGAATGATACACACCCTAAATCATGACAAAAAAGCACCAAAATTCGGAGGAAAACAAAAGCATAAACCTGGGGATTTGGAGGATCAACCTTCCGCTATGAACAGTAAATTCGAGACAACTAATGGCTCAAATCATTGGAATCTTAACATGAATTGGAAATCCAGTTTGAGATTCAAAGAGAGCTCCCATATTCGCTAGTGAGTCCCCAAAACTTCCGCTCCATTTTAGCAAGAAGATGGCCAAATCGAATTTCAAAATTTTGCCGATAAACGATGTCCAGTGAGCCGTTGACCTTCAATTCTTACATATCCGACCAGGCAAATCACCGATTGAACTCTAATATGGATTCCTTTGTTGAGGGCGAATCCAGATGTTCAAAAATCTGAAGAATTGAGCATGCAATCAAGGAGAAAGCAGCGGATTTGGTTGGGCGTGAATAGTCTCACGATTTGGTTGGGTGTGAATAGGGCTAGAGTGAATCTCTGGTCATAGCGAGAATGAACGGTGGATATTACCTAAACAAATGGCTAAACAAATGGCGGTATATTTCCCTCTCTCATTTTTGTCAAAAATTTTCCCTTCCCTCTATTGTTTTCATTCTCCCACTCTTAAATTCTACTCCTTCTTTCCCAAACCAAACTTTACATTTTATTTTTTGTTCTATTTTATTATTTTAGATTCTTTTTTACTTTTTTATTTTTGTTGTTCTAATTTTTTTTTCTTTCTTCTATCTAGTTTTGAATTTTACGACAAAATTGATAAACTTTGACCACTTAAATAAAATTGATTTTAGATATTGTTACCAAATAGTTTTATATTTATTTTATAAAATACTTTCAAAATATTTTTATTTCTAATTAATTGACCATATCATTTTTATTTAATTCGAGGTAACCAAAACATTTTCACCTTTCTTATACCTTTTGTAATCACTATGAAATTTAAATTGTAATATTTCTTTTTTTAAATTTAACTGGTTAACCACTATCTATCTAGTTCTTGTTAGATTTAATTTCAAAAAAATTTAAAAATCATTTTTCAAACTAGTTTATTTTAAATTTTTAGTATATACATTTCATCATTTCATGTAAACTAGTTTGTTTAGATGATATCAAATCAAATCATTTCTTATCAAATAAGATTAAATCAAATCAAATTAAAAGAATTTTAAATATAACTACAATTAGATCAAACAGATTAAATCCATCCAATTAAATCAGTGAAGATTACATCTAATAATATCTAATGAAATCGGGTCTCGTCATATCAGATTAGACTAGATCAAATTAAAAGAGTTTTAATATAACCAATCGGACTAATTAAATTAAATCGGACAAAAACAGATCTAATCGGAATAAATTAAAGTCAAATTCAATAAGATCAGATCAAATCTTCAAAAATATCGAATCAAATCAAATTAAAATCTTGTAAGATCAAATCAAATATTAAAAAAATGAATTTAATTGTATAGGTCGTGTCATATTTGCCTAATCTAATCCTTAAATGCATCATATCGGACCTAATTA